CACACACACACGTAAATAAAAAAGAAAAATTATCTTTTAAAAAGAAAATAAAGGAAGACACTTACTCACCCTTTCCCCTCAAGCAGCATCTTGCTGTTCAAGTTCATTGTATTGAAGACCACATTCAAAACAAGCTGTTTAAACCCCAGAAAGCCTGTTTAATTTACAGCCCCAGGAACAGGTTAAGTAGTAGAGAAGGGTGCCAAGAGACCGCTCAAATAGATTGCTGTTAGCTGACCTGAAATTTTATGAACTTTCACAAGGCTTGAACATTGAACCTTGGATTTATATATGTTTATTAGCTCAAAGAAAGATCAAAGTAGAAAGGACAGAAGAGACCTTTGGAGAGTTCTTCTCACATAGGCAGCTTAATAGCATCATGTGACAGGATTCCATGCTAGTAAAGATATTTTGGGAAGGTTTGTTTCACCCCCAAAGCAGTGGACTTGGAGCCCTGCAGCCTGTCACCACTGAGGTCCGCTTTTAGAATATGCAGAACTGACCCTGCGATTAGCTGTCAGCAGATTGTAAGAAGGAACAATAGGTCACTGTGCTACAAACCGGAGGAAAGGAGCAGCATTTCTTTCTGTAGGTCTCTGTCCTGGTTATCCTCGGGTCTCCAATAACTGAGCACTCACGGAGCCACTCAACTGGGCAAGTTTGCCTACTTCCCGCCAGGCTCTTATCAGAGGAAATGAAAAGTGTGTCCTTGCAAACTTTAAACCCGGAGTAAACAAAGTGTCAGGAAAACTGTCAGAACCATGCAATAACAATTTTAAGAAATGTTTACATTTCTTACACATTGTCTCTAATTCTTCTAGGAGTATTACTGACTTCTAAAACCACAAATGACCACAATTCAAGTGGTCATGGGTGATAAATAGTGATGAGCATTTACTGAAGGCATACTAACATCAGGGGCCAGTGACTGGCTTATCCAGTTGGTACATGCATTATCTCAACAACTCTGGAAAGAGGATTCACAGAGGGAAAGCAAAATACCATAGTGAAACATCTTCTTTTCCTGTAGTCACCGCCTTTGTCCCTTAGGGACGTTGGTGCTCGGCTCACTAAGGATCCAAGTGCCACTGTCTCTAAAGGACAACGGAGGTGACTACATTTCCCCTCTCCACAGATACAATCTTCTCATAAGGCCAGGTCATTTGGAAGTGCTTTATACAGCAATATTGTATCATGTAATGACTTTGCTGTTGTTTATTTGAGACAGGATCTCATTCTATAGACTCACAGCAAGTCTCCTGCCTCTGCCTCTTAAATGCTAGGATTACAAGTGGGAGCCACCAAGCCTGATTCATACAGTGGCTGTAAGAGAAAAGACATTAATCTGATATTACCCTGTCAAGTGTTGTACATGCCAAGAATGCTACTTGCTGTCCTGTGACCTCTTTTGAATGTGGGCACAGATGGTCCCTAATGTTAAAGTTTTCCAGCTTTACAATGGCATAGAAACCATACACTGTCAGTAGAAACCATGCTCCACATGCTGAATTTTGATCTTTCGCCTATCTAACTAGCAATATATAGGGTTACATAGACCAACAATTCTGAACAGCCAGAGCAGTGTCCACGTCAGTCATGTGATCACAGGAAGCAACCAGCACACTATACAGTGACCCGTGTTGGTGAGATAGTGTGTTCACCAACTTACGTGATTAAATGCATTTTTTCATTTATATTTTCAGCTTACAGTGGGTTTATCTGGAAGTTGAGGAACACCTATCAATACATGCATCTGTTTATGTGTATATTATGTTTGTGTGTTATTGATATATTTATATGTACATGTTACTGATGAATAAATGAGAAAATATGCCAAAATATTATTTAAAAAGAGATTTACATGAGCATCCATGGGGAAGACATAAAATGTTTTCAATGGAAGAATTTACATTTATTTAGAGCATTCTTCCAAGGATGTTTGTATTGTGCCAATAATTGAGACATATATAATGTATACACACATACACACACACACACACACACATATATATATATATCTTGACCTTATTTTACAACTGAGGAGACTGAGGATACAGTTAGGGATCTGGCACAAAGCCCTATGGCCATGAAAGCAATTGTCTGACCTGGCGCTCACTGTCTCATTCTCGAATTGTCTACTTTCTTATCACAACAACTTCTCCATTTCCGGCTGAGTTCCAGCAGCTGTTTTTGTTATTGGTCTCAAAGTTGTTTTCATTTCCTGTCCCCATTTATACAAGGATACTTCTAGAAATCTGCTTCCCAGCCAAGATCAACTTGTCCTACTTTAATTCTCACCAAATGGTATGGTATAGGTTGACTCTGTGACAGCAGTTCTCAAACTTGGATGACACTAAATCATCTAGGGACCTTAAGAACACTTCCCATGCTGGGCTCCACCCACTGACATTCTGATTTAGTGGGTTCAGGCTGGGAACTGGGAATCCATGTGTTTCAAGGCTCCCCAGGTGATTCTAAAGTTCAGTAAAGCTTGGGAACCACGGTTCTGAGAATTGTTTAGGCTTCTCTGGGCTGACTCTCCAAAGTGCCTGCTCCTGCCACT